TACAGGTGTCCCAACAACCATGCATTCAGCTATGAGCTCGCAGTCGTCCATAGACAGTGAGCTCAGCACATCAGATGACTCCATCTCTATGGGCTACAAGCTGCAGGATCTCACGGATGTCCAGATCATGGCTCGCCTGCAGGAAGAAAGTGAGTCATGGTGTGCTGTTCCGCTAGGATTTTTTCTTGCCGGTCAAATGTCCGGAAATAATTAATTTTACGGGACAAATTCGAAACTTATCAGTCATGTTTCAATAATAATAATAATAATTGTGTAGCAGAGTTTCCATCAGCAGGTAATTACAGGACTATGACCGGTAATATAATGCTGATGTTTAAAACTCAGTTAATGGGGCTCATTTTTATATTGCTTCAGTTTATAATCGTAACAGATCGAAAAGTTCAGATTCATTTTTCAATAAATGATGCGCTTCCACAAACAATAAAAAAACATAATTGTTACATTCAAACAAACTCCTTATAGTAGATGAAGTACATTATTCAAAAGTTTACATTAACTTTGGATAATAACACGGGAGAAATGAACGGAACCCTTCCCCCTCTCCTGACAGCCCGTCAGTTAAGTCTAACTTGAAGTGTGTGTTTTGCTTCGCTCACCGGTCCGTCACAGCAGACAGAGCTGCAGGTGATCATGCAGAGCTGCGTGTCTCCGTCAGCAGCAGCTGATCCTGATCTCTGATCTCTTTCTGCTTCACACACGTTGCATATCGCTATTTTATTGTCTTTTACGGACACCTTAAAAAACTGCCAGACTGGTGAAGCCATTTGGGCGAGCTTCTTTTTCCGCGCACAGAGGAAAGTCTCGTGTTTTGTTGTCATCTGATCGGCTTTCCTGATCGGCCTTTATAGAGAGCACCGATCACTATTAAGAGTGCATATCGGCCGATGGTGATCCGCGGCCGATCGATCGGAGCATCCCTAATTATTACCGGACATTTTGACCGGCAGGTTTTGAATTTACCGGGTTTTTATACATTTTACCAGCTAAAAAAAAAAAACGGTAATTACCGGCTAACGGAAACCCTGACATTTGATTGTGTTTTCATATTTTAAACAGTACACTGCTGTTGGTGAAAGCTGATAAAGAAATGTAGAAGCACAGTAACACTTATTGCAATCATCTTTGTACACCTCTGTAGATATGTAGATGGTATGACTCCATGTATATGCAGTTTCCTTTTTTAACTGCATGTTTTTGGTGTTAGGTCTGAGACAGGATTATGCCTCGTGCTCAGCGACTGCATCCCGACGCAGCTCCACCACCTCTCTGCATTCCCTGCGGCGGGGCGGCACCTACAGCGATCAAGAATTTGACAGTTACAGCCTGGAGGACGAAGAGGACGAGTTCTGCTCCATGCCCCAGCGCCGCCATCGCTTCACGCCCTCTCCATTAGGCTCACCACGGTGCCTGTCCCCCTCCACCTCCAACCACGGTCAGGAATACAGCAGCCGACTCGGGGCCCCACGCACAAGAACACCCAGACGGTCACTTCAGGGCCCCAGTGCAGAGCTGCTGAAATTTGCAAAGAGCGAAGGTAGGCTAACAACACAGATAGAATAGCATTAATACTATATGTCGAGAAGATCAGCGTGGCCATCACCGAGATTCTTGTTGAACCCAAAGCTGTGATTACAAACACTGAAGCTGAATGTGTCTTGTATGTGTGGTTCCAGAAGAGTTGAGGCACAGCATGCCTAACCTGGCCCCCCGCACCAGCCTACGATCCCTGGAAGCAGTCAGGAACAGCCGCAGCATGGAGGCTAACCTCCAAAGCTCTGGCAACCGCATGTCCCATCTGACCCAATCCCCCTCCACAGGTAACCCTTCCCTCTTCACCTGATCCGCACCACCCCATCTGTGTCTGCCTTGCATATACCTAATGTCACTCTAATCCTAACACTTTATTTCCTAAAACCTCTGCATGACCTGAGCTAAAAAACACAACAAACACTCACACATTTACTCCTCTTATATATTTTTCACGTGTAAATACTTTCCTAAACATGTGAAAACTCAAAAAGAAATCCAATTTGTGTGTCTTTGAAGGAAATGTATATAAATGTATGTGTTTCCCTTTGATCGCCCTTTTTATATATAAAAAAAACAGTTATATATTTAATCTAATACTCACTCATACATAGGGATGGGTATCGTTTGAAATTTATCGATTCCGATTTCGATTCCGGTTCTGCTTATCGATTCCGGTTCTTATCGATTCCCCGTTTCGATTCCAAAATTGTAAAATAAAGAGGTCAAACGTTTAGATAACAAAAATATATTTATTCTTAAAAGCTTTAACTGAAATTGTTACTAAAAAATATACATGCAATACAAATGTATTGCACAATAGCTGTGCTTTATTTTAACTGTGCCTGTGGCAAGCTATTAACAGGCATTACACTTTGCCTTTTCTTTTTCTTTTTTAGTGTAGTGGAGCCTCACTTCAGAGTGTTTACCGCGACCCATCTTTGGTGTTATGAAGTGACTGAGCTCGTGAAATGTCTACGGGAGGGCGGGGGGGCATCGCTGCGGGGCAACTGTGGACCTCTGTCGCCTGTCAGCGCAATTTATATGATGCCGTTTAAAAAAATGAAGGGCGGTGCCGGCCGTCAGCGTACCGAGCCGGCCGTCAACGGCCCGCTGACGACCGGCCGTTCTGTGATTCTCCAGGTCCGCCCTGTATTCCACCGGGTCACCGCGGTGCAGACGGACCCGCTGGAATACAGGGTCTACCGCGTTTAGGAACCGTTAAGCAGAACCGAAATTGTGTATTTTGTATGGGTACCCGGTACCCGGCATTTTCTTATCGGTTCTCATCTGGAACCGAGTTTCGGTTCCCAACCCTACTCATACAACATGTGGGTCACAGACATGTAAGAGTTCCGCAAACCATCACAAATGTTGCCACTACTCCTTCCTTGACATACCCGAAATGTAGAGGTAACCCTCCTATCACTTACCTGCTACATGATTATTTAATTACTGTCCTTTAACCTCAACCTTGATAATCCAGTACTGCTCTTGCCACACTTTCCTGCAACTCCCACAGGCCACAAATGTAGTTTGAATTTCAGTTACAGCTTATTTATCCTTTGTAAATTAAATATAAGTTGTCAGAAAGTAATAGAAGTTTGAGATTCTATTATACCACTTAGCCTCTCTTCCACTCAAGGTATGGCTAGTGGTCGGCTGCATGGCAACGGCCAGTCACCTCTCTCCCTGCGGACTCCGGTTAAAGCTGTCCCTCAAATGGCAGCTGGTCGTTCTTCAAGAGGTCTTCCTGTTGTCCAAGCAGCGCCTGCAGGAGGGGGCCGCAGGGTCCAGCCCGTCGGCTCGGCTAATGGAGGAGCCTACACCCCCGGGAGAGCCTCCACCGGCGCAGGGAGGGCTGCCGCGGGCCGAGGACAGGCCCCTACCAGAAGTAAACTTTCTCAGCCCCCCATGAGGTGAGTGCTTACAAACTATTAGAGAATTTTAACAAACTGAGGATTTTTTACTTTAATTATGGCAATATTGTATTTATGTTTTCTATGATACTTTGTCTCTTTTGTGAATGAATGCTAACTTTCTATTCTTTGGCAGGTCTTTTGGCATGACTAAAATGTCAGATGAATCCTGGAAAGATGGCTGTTACTGAGCATTGCCGGTGATGGAAGGATGATAACTGTTGCAACCCTCCCCTGACCTCTCCCCGTTATCTCTCCTTGTACAAAGAACACAGCCACTGTGTCCACAAATGTGTTTTACAACCTTTGGGTCCCCCAATGTTAGACTGGAGTGCTGGGCTGCACTGGATTCGTAGTCAAGACTCATCTCTTTCCCTAGCATGAAACATTGTCAACCCACACAGAGAGGCACAGTGTGTGTAGACAGACAATAATGCACACATGCACACTATACTTGTGATATGGACCAACTCTGAGCTTCCAGAAGATTTGTTTGTGTCAATTTTACTTATTTTTATATGGTAATTGCGAGAAACTGCTGGAATATTAAAGGTCCCTGTTCTGTTGATGTAATTGATATGAAGACGGTCTAAATGAAGATATTGGTGGTTTGTTGGTTTTCTGTGGAAATTCCTACTAGATGAAGGTGCTGAGTGTTGCATGCTTGGTTTTTTTCCCTTATCATTGTGTAACTGCAATATGACAAATCTTTTATGTGTCCCACAATGATGTGTGCATTTGATTGTTCATTGTGAAATTATCTATAGTTTGGTGTTGTATTTGAGTTATGGTCTTTGCTTACACAGCAAGGCAACTCATGTAAACCACACTGCCCTTATAAATAATACAAACATGGAAATATATGGTTTGTGCCAAGGTGCATTTCCGCTGCAACACTTCAGAAGAATCTTGACATCAAAGGTACTGTTATAATACTGCATTTTTACTGCATATCTATAGGTGGTTTTAAATGTGCTTTTGGATACCACTGTAATGAAGAAGATGTGTATGCACGAAGGCCTTGTGCCTTAGACAGCTATGCACCCTCTGAGTGCCTCTGACAATTAGGAGCTGTAATAAAAATAAAAATAAAGGCTACCCTGAAACTTTAATTTCTGCATTTGTTTTTATGTTTGTATTATATAAACCATGCAACTAAATTGCAGCAATTAGGCACACTATTTAATCCCTCCGCAGCACAAGCAGAAGCGGCAGCATCTCCCGGATATTTCCTGCCTGTGTGCATCACCAAACCCCTCACAAATGAGTGCTCGACGCTACCCACCCCTTGTGACAAAATGGCCCACAGGCCTCATCTGCGCAAGCAAAATGTGAACGAAGTCGGCACCCATGTTAAAAAAAAAAGTGATAACATTTGAATGTTGTGTCTCAAATCCGGGCACAGATATGTTCCCATTAGGATAAAGTGTTTTAACGTTACTCTGCTCTCTTATGCATGACGCAAATAGTAAGGGATCAGCGGTAAACGAGGCCACGCATTGTCTGCCCCCCGCCCTCCCTCTGCTTGTCAGGAAGAAAGCTGATTGGCCGAGGCCTAGCAAAGGGTGCCCGGGGATCCAAAACTGCAGGCCGCACTTAGCTTACCGTCAAAAATAAACCAAAACAATAACAGACAAAACTGAGAAGGGGGAGAAACACCGATAGAGTCAGAAGAGGACGCTATCAGGTAATTTTATTTTGAATCTGTTAGAAAGGCATGTGGAATAAGACGCAAGGGCCCAGTCGGCCGTAGCGGGCCTCTTTCAGCCTTTTGGAAAACAACATGGAAGATAATGCGGCACAAGCTGCTTCACTTAGCTTAGCAAGCTAGCTAGCCTACAGGAAGATCGTCGTCGCGCGGATTAGAGCGACTTGCATAATAATTATCATATATGGCATGTTGGTTTGTTGGTAATGCGGGTGCCTTTATTCAGAGTGTATAGTTGAATGCATTTGAGTTTAAAATGGTCAAATAAGAGCGGTTGTCGCATTCCTTGGAGTAGCAGTTATGCTAGAACAAAATGGCGCCTCGGAGGATCAGTCCTAGCTCGCTTGCTAGTTAGCTCTGGTGGGTGGAGGGCGGTAGCCGCCCTGGTATGGCATTGCATAACGTCTGCGGTACTTTCATTGGCGGCCATACACTCAAAGCTAGTGTTGATTTTTTGAAAGTCCAGAAATAAATACTTTTTTAATAAGACCAATGCATAAGCTCCTTGCTTATTTTATCCTTAAGTTATATATCCGCGGGACCTTAACGTCACCACAGATCCTTGCAGACATTACCCACTTGGCTTATTTTTAACCGTCATGCGACGGCAATACATAAACAAGCAGGACTCATCTTTCAATAGCTATCAGAGCTGCTGACTGTGGGCTCGTCCTCCTGCACACTGAGCGGGACAGCCCTTTGTCTCAGCTGGGCTGCAGCCATCAGGCTCAACCAGCTCCAGGTGTATTGCTATATCAGGTTGAAGCCGCCTGTAGTACTACTTATAAGCAATGGATGGAGCCAGTGGTCAACAACAAAACTGCCCTACTCCTCAGTGAAAGTTTTCGGCCCTGTGTTTTAACGTTACGCATACACATTCCATTAATTATGGTCTTAACACTGTTCTTATTATAAAGCTGAACCTATGTATACAAGTTGTGTTGTAACGTCTTTACATACTTTCTGTTCCCTTCTATTATGTGCGCAATGCCTATGAGTACCAATTGTTTATGTTTGTTTTTTTCTTTTACCAAGGGATTGATTAACTTGATGGAAGGAAGCACATCAATAACCCTGTTGGTTGTATTCTAAGGGGTTTGTCATCAAATGTGAAGGTATGTATTGGTTACTAGTCCGTGTTGCATTTTGCTTTCATTTTCACGTTAGTAAAGCACACTAACACAGTACAAGAAAACTGCTAACAGTGTACACTGTAATTTTAAGGCTTTTCCCCAAGTAAAGACATGGATCAAGGAGGAGGAGTGTTGGAGCTACACACTCAGGAGCTTAAGATGCCCCACGCTATGATCATGCAAGACTTTGGTAAGTGGTCAAATAGGACAAGCTGAAAACCAATCATTTCAAAATGTAATCAAATTCACACCATCCGACAAATTTAAAGTATAGCTAAAACCTAAATATCTTTAAGATTGAATCAGTAATTTCTTAAAATAATGTAATCACTTTTAACTATGTAAGAGAGCTGCTCTATACACACTTTATAAACTATACTATACTTCTATACAATCAGGTTGATTTGGTCTCCTCCGTCACGTTGACAGGGCCAATGTCATTTGGTTTTATTGCCTACATAAATAAAAAAAGTCACTGTTACAAACATTGTCATTCTGACGTTTTCCCAACAAACCACCATAGAGCAGGTGATACCTGTCACCAATATTATACAATATTACGATCTGTTGAGATATCTCTGCTGTAGCTACAATGTTAAACACACTCTGCAGCTTATATGCTCATTTTGTTTTAGGAAACTCTTTGTCATGCAGCCCTCTCTGTGTGTCTTGTGTTTACAGTTGCAGGCATGGGGGGTCTGGCTCACATCGACGGGGAGCATATTGTGGTGTCTGTGCCTGAAGGTATGCTTCTTTCTGATGTGATGACGGACGAGGGCATCCTCCTGGAGCATGAGCTTGAGGTTCACTGCCTGGAGACTGAGGTGGTGGAAGAACTCGAGACGGAAGTGGTGGAGAGCTTACATGCAGACGTTGACTGCTTGGAGGCAGAAGAGGTCGAAGGGATAGAGACACATGTGGTAGAGCTGGAGGCTCATGTTGTCGATGGCGAGGTGGAAGTGGAGGGTCTGGAGTCGCATGTGGTTGAGGGCCTGGAAACTGAGGTTGATGTCGAAGACCTGGGAGTTCACATCGTCGAGGGCCTTGAGGAAGAAGTGGAAGTGGAGGGTTTGGAAGCGGAGGTTGTTGAAGGCCTGGAGGTAGATGAGGAGAGTCTGCAGTCGCAAGGAGTAGAAGCCCATGAAATTAGCTCTGAAGACATGGTGACCTCAGAACACAGTGTGATCATGCCTGAGAATATTATGGGCACAGAGGTTGCAATAGAGGAAGATCTGGACCCCCATCATCACCATCACCACCACCATCACCACCATCATCATGTCCTCACTGCAGACCTCATCCAGGACTCAAACCACCATCATGATGACATGCCAGACCAGGTGTTTGTGGCGGAGCTGCTGTCTGAGCACCAGGACAACACGCTGGACCACCAGCTCGTGTCAGAAGGCTTGATGGTGACCGAATCCAACTCGGAGACCATCATCCACCAACAGATGCCAGCAGAGGCTGTCTCCCTGCAGACGGACGAGGACGATGATGCGAGAAGCAGCTCTGAGGATTACCTCATGATCTCCTGTAAGACAGAATTTCATCATTTATACGTTAATTAACTTTGTTCATATGTAATACCATGTTTTATTATTGATATGTTTTATGAACTATGACTACTTGTGTTACTGTAGTGGATGAGGTGGGAGAGAAGCTGGACATAGGAGACACTCCCCTGGAGATCAGCACTGAGGTAATGGAAGACAAGGAGTGTAAAGAGGAGGACGGCTCCGAGGTCATCAAAGTCTACATTTTCAAAGCTGAAGCAGATGATGACTTGGGTAAGTGACTTTTTAGAATAATCAAATCATTTCAACAATACAACACAATTCTTCCCTGTTAAACGTAATGTTATCTCTTTCCAGGTGGAACAGAGGTGATAACAGAGGATGATTACCAGAATGGCCATCCTGACCTGGAAGCTGCATCGTCAGGCAGACTGGGAGTTGGCCGTGACAAGATGGTCTACATGGCGGTCAAGAACCATCCGAAAGAAGAAGAGGATGATGAGGATGACAGTGACGAGGATGACGATGATGACATCAGTATGTCCCTTTGTGAAACCACTTTAATTGTATTGTGTCAGCCGGGTCGTGTGGCTGTAAACGAGCAAAAGGTGTCAATTAGAGTTGCATGACATGAGGGATGTGTGCAATAACGTTATTTAATATCGCCATAGCAATACAACATGTTCATCACTGTTAAATACAACTGTTAATGTGTATTCACTTTAGCCTTCCCACTGCTTTTTGAATACTGCTAAAATACAACAAGTTGCTTGTCTGTCTGCGATACAAATCAAAAGGAAAAACACACCGATAATAGATCTCTAGTTAAACATAGGCACAAAACAAACAATTGTTAGTTAATTAGTTATCTAATTATGGCTACTAGCTGAAACAATCTTCTTTTGCGCCCATAATAAACAAGCAGTTTCTTTTGCGATGAGCTCACATTGAAATGATTATGATTTATATACAACACATTGAGTGTTTGAAGGAGATCAGTAAGAGGGGGCTGCTGTATGTCAGCAGTCTTTTTAAATGAGTAATCAACTAAATGTTTCTACCTTTGGACAGTTTGCACAGCATGTGTCACAGCTCAGATATATGCCATATTAATACATTTTGAAAGTGCATTGGAGCATATTTTCAAATAACCAATTTTAGCAAAACTTACAATTAAAAGTTAATTCTATTTTTTCCGTGCAGGTAATACCATCGATCAGGTGAAGAATGGAGCGGCTTCACCGTTTCTGCAAATCCGAGAGGGACTCGGGGACAACCGTGTCCTTAAACCCAAAACTAAGAAAAAGAAGAAAGGAGATATTCGACAGTCTCAGACTGGTATGGACAGATTTAGAATTTAAGATAATTTGCTAGTGAGAATGTAATATTTTTGGATGGATAACAGTATTTCCACCGCTCTCTTCCAGCTGTTATCATCGGACCAGATGGGTTGCCCTTGACTGTCTACCCCTGTCACCTATGTGGAAAGAAGTTTCGCTCAAGAGGCTTCCTCAAATGCCACATGAAGAACCACCCGGACCACCTACTGAAGAAGAAATACCAATGTACAGACTGCGACTTCACCACCAACAAGAAAATCAGTTTCCACAACCACCTCGAGAGTCACAAGCTGCTGAGTCACAACGAGCGCTCTCCAGAATACAGCGAGTACGCGCGGCGCTACCACGAGTCCAGCCCTCTGGGCTCCGACAAGCTCATCGTCAAGGACCGGGAGAACAAACTGCATCACTGCAAGTACTGCGATTATGAGACCGCTGAACAGGGTCTGCTCAACCGTCACCTGCTGGCTGTGCACAGTAAGAACTTTGCACACGTGTGCGTCGAGTGCGCCAAGGGCTTCCGCCACCCGTCAGAGCTGAAGAAACACATGCGGACCCACACGGGCGAGAAGCCCTACCACTGCCCGCACTGCGAGTTCCGCTGCGCAGATCAGTCCAACCTAAAGACTCACATCAAGAGCAAGCATGGCGCCGATCTGCCTTTCAAGTGCAGCCACTGTCCGCAAGCATACGCCGACGCACGGGAACTCCAGCGGCACATAGAGATGGTGCAAGGCCACAAGACCCACCAGTGCCCACACTGTGAGCACAAGAGCACCAACTCCAGCGACCTGAAACGACACATTATCTCTGTACACACCAAGGACTTCCCCCATCAGTGTGACGTGTGCGAGAAAGGCTTTCACAGGCCCTCGGAGCTGAAGAAGCACGCAGAGACACATAAGGGCAACAAGGTGCACCAGTGCCGACATTGTAACTTCAACGCCCCGGACACCTTCACTTTGAGTCGCCACATCCTGTCCTTGCACACGAAGGACCTTCCCTTCAAGTGCAAGCGCTGCCGGCGAGGGTTCCGGCAGCCGGCGGAGCTGAAGAAACACATGAAGACACACAGCGGTAGAAAGGTTTATCAGTGCCAGTATTGTGAGTATAACAGTACGGACGCTTCTGGCTTCAAACGCCACGTTATCTCCATTCACACCAAGGACTACCCACACCGCTGCGACTACTGCACCAAGGGCTTTAGGAGGCCTTCGGAGAAGAGCCAGCACATAGCCAGGCACCACAAAGACATGTTGATGTAATGTCATCGCTCACACACACACACACACACACACACACACACACACACACACACACACACACACACACACACACACACACACACACACACTCCTCTTCCCCAGTAAATCTGTGTCACACACCCAGAGGTAATTTTAGTGTATTAACAAAGAAATGACAGATGTATGCTGTTGATAAAGACGACAACATCATAATTGCCGTTCTGTGTTCTGTGTTGTAATGGGTGTAACCCTCCTCCCCCAGGGGTAATGCAAGAACACATTTTAGATGGGGTGAAGTGTAACAAAAAAAAAGACAATGTGTACACTGAGTGGGACAGCTGTAAATTGTGTTTCGTTTCGTTGCAGAAAATCACATATGAACTTATATTCAGGGTCTCAAATGTCTATATTTTTATACCCCACTCAGCGGAAGTGCTGCAAGATGATGACTGTGTCCTGTAAATCAGAAAGTGGTGCTTAGTGAACGTCATGCCAGTTCTTCAGATGATGTGGAATGTGCACCGGAGAAGTTTACCTCCATAGTACACACTAGCATCTCTGTCCCTATTAACCAGCTTTGCCCTGACATTTCTGTTCAATGCCATCATGTCTTTTAGAGGCAGGGCCATTCATGAGATGGTTTTGAGTGATGTTGACACACATTACGCACCTTGAGAAGATAGTCAAATCATCAAAGTCAAGTCATCAAATCTAACATTTCAACTTCCATCATTTGGGATTTTCCTCCCAAGCTTGAACACTTGGAGTTCCACTAAATTAATCATGTATGATATAGGCTGTATTCTATTAAATATGTCTTAAAGTTGAATCAGAGATGTTCTGGTCTGATCAGCAGTGTCTAACAAGGAGGAGAAATGGTGTCGCTGGTATATTAGTAGAATATCCCTTTAGTGTACACAATAGTTCACAGGTGTATTTATATGAACTTGGCAGATGGTTGGCTTCACGTTCGGTAACCTTTGACCTGATTACATCTGGCGCCCATAGTAAGCTGCATAGTGCGATGTTACCTAAAGCTAAATGTGCTCTCGGCTAACATCGACTGCAATCATGCCTTACATCTGTCGCTCTCTTTCCCTTAAGCACTGAGGAACACAGCTAATCAGAAAGGAAGTGATTTTTAACTCTCAAACATACTGCATCAAAACCATTCTCTCAGAGATTGTGTGTTTGAGTCAGTAGAAAGCACTTTAATAACTTTTATTTTATTTTTTATTTTAATTACGTGTGTGTGCATATATAGATATTTAAATATATCTATATATGAAACCTAGATAATAAACAATTACAGAGCTTTGTGAGTTGGTAAAAGAAAAGTTTGTTTTGAGTGTTATCTCTAAGTGGGCACGATCCATTACTGTATGCAGACGGAATTGTATTGAAAGTGGTGGGTTTACCATTTATTGTTTTGTTCTATGGATAAGTGATCTGGTTTTGTGTTTTGTTTGTGCTCGCTAACAATTTTCCCCGACCCTCGTTATTATACAACCCAAATCCCAACCATGGGAGTATTCCCTTCAGTCAGTTGTCATATTGGCATTAGTCTTTAAAGTATGCACACATGCTGTCTCCATGAAATTAAATGTGGTATATATTAAAGATCCCCACATTTCCTGTACCTTAGTCTATATTTTCTTTCAGTCTGATTGTGGGTAAACTACTGGTGGGGAAGAACCAAAATAAACAATTATCTTTTTACGCTCTTTGTGCTTTCTGTCCTGCAAACAGAAATGATCTTTACATGACATCTTAGAAGAATACTTGACCAAAAAACGAACCATTTGTATATCAGGTACCCTACCTGTATTCTATTGAAGAAGGGTTTCCTGCATCGCTCCACAAAGAATCAGAAAACAAATAAGGTTTTAATTAAAGTCAACGGACAAGCACTTCTAACTGTCACAACAAGTGTGTTTAACAAGCAAGTGACTAACAATCAGGAAGTGTGAAGGTAAGGTTTTAGTGGTTGGGAAGTAGCATGCATTGGATAATAATTCTCAAAGTAACAAATATGTAATCAAAAAAAAAGTATCACTTTGGATTCTACGTTTACCATGGAGGCATGCTAGGAAAACAGAAATTCAAGCTAACACTAGATTTGTTTTCGGGCAAAGTATAACATTTAATACCCTGTCAGCAGATATTCACCGTCAACACAGGTTATGCTCCACACATGATGAGAGACATTAAGGCAAAACAAATATTCATTTCGATTAAACACAGTCAACTGTTTGAAAGGATCACTTCTTGAATTTACATGAGAGACTAACATAAAACAGATTACATTGTTCCATGCATCCTTTTTTCATCCCCTGATTTGCAGCTCTTATTCAACGAGGACAGACAGCAGGATTTTTGTTTTGACATATTGCTACCTTGACTGACAATAATGTTTGGGGGCAGATGAAAGCAAGGCAAGCATCACTCTATCATCCTGTTTTGGAACTTGAAACCTGCTTTAATCCAAACTCTGTCTGTTTATATTTTAAAACCTCTAATGAGTGTCCGTGGTTTCAGTTGCAGCTCTCAGTTCAACAGCTTTGTTGTTTCAAAGCTTAAAATAAAATAATTTATTTGCAGAAATAAATCCTGTTTCTCTTTTCAGACAAGGAAACATTTGATATCTGCAACGTTTTTACCTGTATTAGATTATGGTGACCTGCTATACATGAATGCCTCTGACCAATGCCTAAAGAGCTTGGATACTGTGTGCCGTTGTGCCTTACGATTTATCACTGGATCTGGATATCGAGTACACCATTGCACTTTATATGCTGCTGCTAATTGGCCATCTTTGTCTGCTCACAGACTTTCCCATTGGTTGAGTTTTATTTATAAATCTCTTCTTGGGTTGGTTCCCTCCTACATTTGCACATATATGTGTCAAAGAGAAAGTCTATATGGCCTGCGCTCCCAAGATTGTATTCAGATGCTGGTTCCTACAGTGAGAACAAAACTGGGTGAAACAGCTTTTTAATATGCTGCCCCCCCCCCCCCCCCCCCCCCCCCACAGCTTGGAACAGAAGGAGCTGAAACTCTCAGATGAATCACTATGGGGGAATTCAGGTCCATCCTAAAGGACAGAGAACACGACACCATTGGTAGATGTGAGAGTTCGTATATCCAAAAATCGTTTTAGATTTTGCCAGTTTTTAATGATTTTTAATAGTTTGTTTTATTTCGCATATTGACTGCTATAATGTGCCATTGTATTTGTGTTTTACAGCTGTATTTGTCTGCCTGTCTTGTCTGTGTTTTATCTGTTGTAACTTTGTTCATGCTGCCCTTCTTGGCCAGGTCACTCTTGGAAAAGAGATTTTAATCTCAATGAGTCTTTTACCTGGTTAAATAAAGGATTTATATACAGCACCACACATTTATTTGATTTAAAAAATGTAGTCAACTATTGAGAAGTGATGACATAAGCCAGTAAGCCTCAGTAACTGCGGTGCCTGAGGCCAACAAGCAATTTACTGGTTAGTAAAAAGGGAATTTGAAATTTCACTGGATCACCAGCTCATCCTCTGACGAAATCAAGTTGATACAAAATGTGAAAGCTGCCGACCTGAAGTTTTACCCTTTGATTTCAACTATTTTCCCGAATTGCAGTGATGCAATTCTACAGTGTTAAGAGGGTCTCCAACCTCAAGAAGTAGATAGAAAACATACAGTACAAGTTGAAGGCATTCAGCTGTGTTGAAGAGTAAACAGATCTTTGCAAATAGCTAAAACAGCAGTCAAAAACTTCTGATAGCTGAAAATGTATCCCATTATCAAGGCTGCATCATAAGTAAATCCCAGCCTGCTGTCGGACTATACTGTTACAGATCCACTTGTGAATCTGTGTGTTGATGTCATGTGTGTGTAAGAAAAGCCCAGTTGTTACTAACAAATAGGAAAAACAATACCAGCACGCAGAAACTTAAGCAGGTAAATGTAATTCAGTTTACCTTAATTGTGTCATTTACACCTGAGCCTTTTTAGTGTCAAATGTTATAATGTCTTCCGTGAAAAAAAGATAATGTTGTCTTCAAATGAATGTGTGGTCTGTAATCAGATCACTTCTGATTATAACTAACTTCAGAAATGGTTGTAGCAAAGAAGGCAAGTAAGAGGGATGTCGAACAATAGTTGTGAAAGTTGTACAGATTTTATAATGCAGAGGGACAACATGATGAGTTTGCGAGTGGCCTTGGCGAAGGAGGAAACAGACAGATTGATGAAATGATGTGGGATTGGAGTGACCATGAGAGAGAGGAAGAGCAGTGACTGAATCAGGAAGAAAGTGCAGTAAAGTGATTAAAAAAGTTTGTGCAGGTGTCTCCATTTCATCTTTCTATCAACTGTGAGTCATTATAATATAAACAACTTCCTCTCTTCCCTCCACACAGAGACTCCCAGGAGATGTGACTCTTTCTACGCACCAAGACGTGTGTTGCAGTCGTGTTTCGCTCCCATGTCACCCGTCTTGAAAGATGTACGATGCTTCATGCTGAGGGAAATGAGGCTGTGCAGATAGGTTCACATACACCTGAAAGATGCACCAGCCTGTTCATTTTCTGTTGACCCCACAAAACATCTCATAAATCACTTAATGGTGCAGCTGTCAACAGAAACTGCTGAGAACGCAGAGATCAATATGCAGACATATCCATAAAATGGTCCCTAAGTAACCGTTTCTTTCTCACTGCATCATCCAGGAGTTTAGCGTTAGTATGTGTTGGGGGTGTTTCGCTCTGAACACACATAATTAAGCAACGGCAGTAAGTACATTATGCCCATTTCCCATTTGACCGTGCTGAACTACTCTCTCTCCCAAGCCTCTACTTTGCCTTTTTTAATCAGAAGAGCACAAAACACACACACACACACACACACACACACACACACACACACACACACACACACACACACACACACACACACACACACACACACACACACCACACACACACACACACACACACACACACACACACTCACCTATCTGCTTCCTAAGGCCATGACGGTGATTATAATTGACAGGCGTACACAGATAATCCAGCCGTTACAGAAGGTCAAACTTCATTTTGACAATTTTTCTGAGGAGCAATGGGCTATTGTGAGGATGTGTTTAGAATGAAACAGCCAGTAAACACCCAGGGTTATTGCTGATGTGCATGGATTTTAGAGTCAAGGTGTGAAAACGTGATAATTCATTCACAAATAGTCCAGTCACTTAATTTTTCAATCACTGGCATTAGTAAATAGTCGGCAATAATTCAAAAAAAATCTAGTAACAGTTTTGCCTCAGATCATATTTTGGGTATTTTGTTTTGGACTTTGGTGTTAAACAGCATATTGCTCTGCATATTTCAGCAGAGGGAGCAGCAAATGGAGCTGGAGACTGTATTGAACTTTGAACTCATCCCATTGGCAGACAGCACTGCCATAATTCACCTCCAAATCCTGCGGTGGCCCACATAACCAGAGTGGACCGAGCCAGATTGTCGCAGACAAGGCTGAAAGTGCTGCAAGCCAGCTGGAGACTGCGAGGCCTTCAGGGAAATCAGTGCCAGAGTGCTCGGAGATGGGTAGAAATTGGCCTGCTGATTAGTCGCAGAAAGGACTGAATGGTGGACTTACAAGAGAGAGACAGAGAGTAGAGATGGTAGGCAGCCTGTTGAGTATGCAGGTCTCTCTGACTCAGTAATGCTCTCTATTGGTGTGTCATCTGATGTGCCTCTATCTGAAAAACATATTTCTAAAAGACAGTTAGTGGACCTTGGGTTTGAATTTTTTTTTTTCAAACTGCTTTTTCAAAGGTGAAGCATTAACTTTCTCATGTTTAAATCAGATTGTTTTTTCTCTCTCCAGGAATCATAACAGCTACTGACGTCAACAGGACAATCTCCTTGACAACAGGGCCAATATATCATCCACTCATGTAGGATGTGTGGCATATAAGTGGACCTGCATTGGGATTGTTTTGTCAAGTAACTTCTTCAGTTTGACCACAGGTAAATTAAAGGTAAATTATTTAAACTCTTTACTTTTTGAAAAAGAAATTGTTAAAAGCAAGATGAAAATATATTATGGTAACAATTTGAACTCCTTTGCCATAAAAACCTTCTGAATAATATGTACATTTTACTACTGCTGAACACACAATATCTTCAATTTACTGAAGGTCCATTCGGTTTCATGTCTGGAACCCAGTTGTAATGCCATAAGAAATGCTCTATATACATCTAATACTGATTGAAAGGTGAGCCCAGAGAAATGTTTCCCCTTCACTGATAGGCCCACAGATGCTCAGCAGTGAATTATATCTCGATAGTTATCCATGTTCTGAAAGGGGAAACATTTCCTCCTGAGTATTCACTAGATGTCACTGTTATCCCATCCTTCCTTAAGAGACACTGGCTTCCCTGATAACTGAGATTGTTTAAAAAAATAAGTGCATCAAAAATAAATGCATACTCATTTCTAAGTCAGTGGCTGGGTTTCAATGAGACTCCCAGAATAGAATTAGATTAATATTTAAAAATGTAAATATTTTATATACATGTTTATTTAGCCGAAATACCTAGTGAGCACAATGACATAACAAATGCATGAATGGATGTTAGGATGTCATTGGTATACTCCAATTTATGGTTTTATTTAATAATTGAATGTATTAATTACAGGGAGAAAAAATCGAAAAAATGAGGGTT